TGTCTCTACTATAAATTAGAAAGAAATTAATTGGACAACTAAAAATATATAGAAAAAGTTAGCTGGGCATGGTGGTGCATGCCTGTAGTCCCAGCTACTCGGGAGGCTGAGGCAGGAGGATCGCTTGAGCCCAGGAGTTTGAGGTTGCTGTGAGCTAGGATGACGCCACGGCACTCTAGCCCGGGCAGAGAGTGAGACTCTGTCTCAAAAAAAAAAAAAAAAAAGAAATAACATGTAGCAGCTAGTTTTATAATGACAGTTTTAAGAATATCTTTTGAAAATCAAGATAGCTAAAATTAACCAAAAATTATCCACTAGATTACATGAGTGTAATTTACAGTGTCCAAAGTTTGTTTTCCCTTATATTTCAATTTGTTACTAACAAGAGAATAATTAGGTTCTATATAACATTATCTAAAGAATAAAATTGATAGACTAAAAATATGTCTGACATTTTCCTTATGTTTCCCTTCTACCACACTCTCTCAATTGAAAAACTTATACTAAAATAGATAATTGTATCCTTTTACATTTGCATTATGTTCTAAGAATTAAAACCAAAATCACCACAGCATAAAAGTTAAATTCTAGATAAAAACATGTCACTCATTTTTATTTTTCCTTTGGAGAGCCAGTATTTTGTTCACAAGCTACATAAATGAAGAAAAATCAGTTTTGCAATGAAAATGGACAAAGGGATCACACCGAAATTCAAGTTGTACAGAAACTGAAAAGCCTTAAAAAAAAAAAAGACCAATTCTAATTGACTATCAAAGTCAATTAGACAAAATAAAGGAAGAAGGAGTTAGTTTTAAATTGCTATCTAGATTTTTCATATATGTCATGAAATGGTAGGGCGTTGTCAGAAACACCATTAAACTGATTAGAAGGAAGTGATTCTCCCATTTTTTGTATTTGGCTACATTTTTTTATCTTAGTGCGTGAAGATCTGCCTGATAAATGTATGCTAAATAATTAATAAAGAGGGATGCAAAACAAGGAATCCGAAGTGTGTTAATTCAGATTCAGCAAGCTGAAGTGAATATAAGTTGAGTGAACAAGCAAAGAACCAGCATCTTTTGCACTACTCTTTGTAGCATGTGGCTTCCCCCTTCCCCTTGGATAAAACAAACTCCTAAGGGAAAAAAAGTCACAAAATGGACAAATAATGCCTTTCTCTCCTTACTGCTCATTATTTTTCAATAAGTTATTAGGAGGCAGTTGAATTAATTTCATGGAAATATTTCTCAAAAGAAACAGTGAATAGGCACTGGGGCATAAAAACATAGTCCCCACCCACATAAAAACAGGTATGATTGACCAGAATAACAAGAGACTGCTCACATACTTACAGGAATTACTGTGTTAACTAGTAGGGCTCTTTTGTTCATTGGTTTATGTTTATTTACACAACCATAAGTTTCATCAATGAATCAGTACAAACAGTTCAAAGTCAAAGAGGAGCAGGCATTTTGTACTAAAAGCACATCACCATCAGGAACCAGGGAGAAGTCACCCTCACTGGTTTGTAAGTTTTAAGAAAACAATAACTATAACAACATGAGAGTCTTTCCAAACCCATTTGGGGTACTTTAATTGCAACAAAGAGAATCATGAGGATTAAAAAGCAGCAGCAAAGGCTGCTTTCTTAATAGCCTATCAAACAGAAGGTATTTCACCAGTGTAAAAATGAACCACAGTGACGAGGTTAGGCAATTCCTGTTGTCATAACTAAAATAAGCCCATGTAGCTGTGGCTAACTTCAGAAGTCAGGAATACGGGTAAAGTCCAAAGATTAAATAAGCACAATCTAATCCATGCATGAAGGTAAGAAACATTTACTTAGCACTTGATCAAATATTAAAACAAATTAAAAATGACATACAGGAAAGTATCCATCCTGGTGTCCTACATGTGGTAGACACTCAACAGATCATCTCTCTGTCCTTTCTTTCTCTCCCTTTCACACGCTGATCCACTGTCTCATGGCCCTGTTTACATATTCAAGTATATAAGTTTGTCTTCTCTCTCCAGCTAGACTGAAAAATATGAATTGCTTCATGCCTAAGTAGATATGCATACTTTTAATTCTGCCGTATGTCTCACTTGTGCTATCCGCAATGTGTTGATAGGTAGGACTCTTGAAACCCAAAGAATAACGCAACATAGTATATTAGAATGCTTTGGGCAGCATAGCAGAATAGTCATCTAAAAATTCTTTAAACAATTGCTGTTATTATAATTACCACTACTCTGCCTGAGAACAGGACCCAGGTTCCTTCCAGACTCTCCTCTGTTACCCTGTCTGTCGAGTTTCTCCTTCCTCAGTTATGAGATGGCCACAGTGGCGCCGAGCATCATGTTCTCATGCAACAACATGTCTCTCTCTTTATTATCAGTGAGGAGCATCTTTCGCAGGAGTTTCCTGGCAGATTTTCATCATAATTAATATGACCTAACTGTGTCACATGGCCAGGACACCCTTACCTGCAAAGGAAGTTTTGAAAGCAAGTGAGACAAGAGGGAGCCCTCTCAATATGGAAGAAAGTGAGGAGAATGACTAACTGAATAGACAACAAACAATATCTGCAATGCTGCTATGCAAGATAATGAGCCAGAGTCACTTACAAAGCTTATAAATGAAGATGTTACCTCTACAAGACAGAGCAAGAAAGAAAAACCTTGCTGCCCATCTTTCTAAAGTGGGCCTCTATATGGATGAATGAGGACCAGCAATAATTAGAAGAGTTCCAAGTGCTATGACAGAGGAGTGGCATCCCCTCTTCCTCACTCTCTGCATGGATGTTTCACGAGCATGCTTCTCATACGTAACCCACTGTCTGAAGATCAATCTTTTAGAGGCTCTTTATTCAAGTAAACAGTCACTTGGTTTACGCCCCAATCTTCTTAGATCCAAAGCCAGTAGAATCTCTGGAGTGTAATAGTCTTTCTGTTGCCAACATATACATGTTAATATAACTGTTTAAAAAGATAAAAATCTCATGCCTGTCCAGTTCTTACATTTTTTTTCAAACTGATGGAAAACATTAAGAAGAAAATGAATTACAAAAGTTCAGTGTTTGTTTCTTGGTAAATTGAGGGGGGGGGATTCACTTTATGCTATATTATCACTTTCCAATTTCTGGCCAAACCCCTGTAGTTTTCATCACGCATCATTTTTGTGATTAATGATGTGCACCCAGTTAATGGAAAACAGCAGATTAAGTTTCCACTAATAGTTTTGCAAGTTACATACGTCTGCCTGCCTCATTTAGTAACAACCTCACTGTTCAGTAAGAAAGTAATGGATTTAATCCCAAAGCAGAACTTAGTTTTACACGTACAAGACAGGTCAGATTTCCAGAGTGGAGAAAATTACACTTTTCAAGGTATGCTGATCTTCAGTTGAAATTTAACACTAAAATGATACCTCATACAGATTCTGAGGGTTTCTTTTTCTGTTTATTTCTATTTAGCAATCAACTTAAGAATCTCCAGTACTTACTTGAGGCCTACAAAAACAGGTAAATAAACAAATGTAATATGATAATTTCTATAATCAGTACGCTAAGCTGGAAAGATACTATTCTGAAGACAAAGGTGAGAAACAGTTCCTTATATATTAGTGTATCACTGTAATGATCATGTCAAAAAACAAAATTTATATTTGCTGATTCTGTTTGTAACCAAAAAGTGTTGGCTCTAAATAATTGTGATTTAAGAAAAACTATGCAGTACAGTGGAAAGCATACTAATCTAGGAAGAGAGAAATCAAGAGGCCTGCATTCTAGTCCCATTTCTGCCTCAAATTACTTTGAACGCAAATCTAACTATCTTTTGTTTTTGCTTTCCCCACTACATTTTATATTTACCTCTCAAGTCATTTAACAATTGCTAATGTGTTTCAAGTTATTTCTTTGTATATCTCACATTTCCCATCTGGCCTTGGTTCTTTAAGAGTAGAGCACACATCTGATTTACATTTTTATCTCCTACAGTGCAAGGCTAGACTAGGAGCTTCATGAGAAGAGGGACTTTGCCTGTAGATCCCCAGGGATCAGCACGGTGTGACTTCATAGTCTAATAGTAGATGTTTTAATAAATAAAAAACCTGAAAAGAATAGCATGCTTTCAAAATTTTTAAAAAATGGGTATATTATTTAAGAACCATACCAAATTAACTAATACTAACAAACTAAGGAATGTTCCAAAAATCTCAAAAGAAGAAACAAACAGAAAATACAAATGGACAGTGACTAGCAAATCTGTCAAAGTGAACCAAGATGGTATCACTACCTCTGACAAAAATAAAAATTTAAAAAACTAAACTAAATTCATCAATGGCTCCCAATACCTACCTATTAAAGTTTCAAATTTTGAGATTTTCCCTGGGAAGTCTTTATCTTCTACATATGGATCAATTTCCATCAAACCTCAAGATAGAATTTAAATATCACACCTCCATGAAGCTTCCCTGATTCTCCTGGACAGAAGAGTAAGCTATTCTCTAAACTTCCAAACAAATTTATCTGTCCTTCTCACTAATATATAGCACTTAAATTAAGTGACTTACTCCATAGCCCCCTGCAAACAAGGATAAAAAAAAAAAATATGGTGACTACAGATTAGGAAAATACAGAACATAAGATTTAAAAAGCAATAAACAACACTGAACCTTTGTAAAGCTATCCTTTTTTTAATAGGTATTTTTTACATATATTACATAATATAATGTATCACAATCTTCAACATAGTGAAGTTTAGCCTGTAGAGAGTTTCTAAGCAAGCAGTATTTGAGTATTTGCATTTTTGCATAACTTTCCCCTAACCCTAAGAATAATAAATGTGTGCCTTTTCAGCTAATTCTTGAGACAAGTCCTATAACTTAATTGATAACGCAGAGTAATTCACAATCCAGCATAACCTTCTTCTAAGATCTAGTAAAGGGCATTGACAGTCAAGGGCATTCTTCTGCTGGGATGAAAGTGGCCGGGGAGGGTGTCATGTCAGACAACGAGGAAAATTTTGATGATGATGACTTTGATGAAGTGGAGGAGTATGAAGGGTTAGATGACTTGGAGAATGCCGAGGAGGAAGGCCAGGAGAACGTGAAGATACTCCCCTCTGGAGAGTGACCGCAAGCCAACCAGAAGCGAATCACCACACCGTACATGACCAAGTATGAGCGAGCCCGTGTGCTAGGCACCCGAGTTCTCCAGATCGCGATGTGTGCTCCTGTGATGGTGGAGCTGGAGGGGGAGACAGACCCTTTGCTCATCGCCATGAAGGAGCTCAAGGCCCAGAAGATCCCCATCATCATTTGCCGCTACCTGCCTGATGGGAGCTATGAAGACTGGGGGGTAGACGAGCTCATCATCACCGACTGAGCTGGGGTCGTCCTGACCTCGCCCCTGCTCACTTTCATCACTTTATGTGACAGCTGTAAACAATAAACTATTCAACCTTCCAAACAAAAAGAAAGTGGCTGGGATGAAAATACAATCTGCCATTCTATATAGCCAGTATTCTCATCCATTCATGAGTTGGACCAGCCTCAAAGAACAGTTATTGCCACAGCAAATAGATCTCCATAAACTGCACTATAAACAAAGTAAAAGTATGAAATACTAAACAATGAAATTGAATAGATCAATTCATTGGTTAAGTTTGTCTACAATCTGAAGCTAATCCATTCTGGCAAGTCTAATAGGATGGTATATGCAAAATCAGATGCTTTACAGGGGCCACAACTATATTCTTTTATATTAAAAGCAGACATATGGTACTGCTTTTTTTCTAAAGACAAGGAAGGTATTTTCTTTAATACTTTCGTACTTAAAAGTACTTTTAAAATCTTTTCTATAAGAAATATTTCTGTAATCTTAACCAATTACTTGAGCAGTTTTGATCAGCGAGAAAGACACTTCGACAAATGAGTTTGTCTCTATAAGCAAGTCTGATGCACATTTCTGTATATATATAAGTTGGTTCTTTTCTTACACAAGAATAGAAATCAAGGCTCCAAATTTCCCTAATGGAATCTCAAAACTGGCCTCTGATATCTGGTACTTTAAACAGTTGAGTTAGTCTTTAAGTATAGAGACTCCAGCTCCTAAGACACCTACTAAAAATTCTACCATGTTTTGCCTGCAAACCAGCACTTACCAAAAACTTAACAGATATTTGATTCTGAAAGCTACCAAAAATGTACAGAAGATTTAATATTTTTCATGCTATTTCCTAAGGGGAAAAAATGCTACATAAATATAGTTTATGTTATGCTGGTTGTTTCTAATAATTAATGTACAGGTATAAAACTAGGTATATACATGATTGGATTGATGAAAACATCAATCGTAATTTATTGAGCACTAAGCACATGAATAAAAATTACTCTGTTATTTGCTCTCATTGATTAAGTTTTGCAGGTTAAGGAAAAAGATGTGGAAGCAAAATAATCACCTAAGAAATTATATATGACTCAAATTTTAATCTTCAACAATGAGACATTTACCCATAGGTTCCACGTATTTAGTTATCTTTTTCTCCGAGAAGACGTCTCCAAAAATATCTCACTGGCCAAGGTGAAACTCACCCAGGCACTTTTTACACTGTTTGTTTAAATAAACCACAGACACATATATCATAGGGAGTTTCATCATGCAAAAGGAGACTGAACAAAGAACTACTTATCCAGTGAAGGTACAGTAACTCAACATTAGAATAACACCGCAATAATCTGTGCCATAACGTTATTAACATCAATGATTCAAAGACAGATCTTTAAAAAATTAGAAAAATAATTATAGGTATGGCATTTCTTAGTTATGAGGGACAAGAAACATACCATAGATATATTATGTGTTGGCTTTATCAAAATGTACTTCTATTTTTTTTTAGAGTACAACTAACAATCTGATTCCTTAAAGAACTATCTACACAGGTAGCAAATAGCAAACAGAGCTGAATAAAGGCACTCTGACTCCAGAACCCACACTTGTAATGATTTTGCTAGATTAACTTGTTACTTGGGGCTTCGTTTTATGGAGGCTGAATCTGTTGACAAATTTATTCTGCTGAATCAGAGCTTCTTTCCGGAGCTATGTTAAGCTCCTATGACAGATTCTCATGAAATCAGTACAATGATAATGCATTGTGAGGGTGACCCAGCGATGACAGCCATCAACCCACTATTGTTAGAGATCAGCCCACTGATCCTGCAGGCAGTGCTTTAGCATTAGCTTCACACACCCCCACCCACCTACCTACTGCATTTGCAGCCCTCCTGAAGCTGCGGGCCCTGAAAAAGCAGATGGCTGTCTCAGATTGAAGAGGAACATCCTTTTATTTAATAATGGAATCAACGAGTACCTAATGAAAACTCTAATGAAATCTCAATAGACACATAACCCTGAACTGAGGACCTGTGGAACCATGTCTATGATATAAAATAAAAAACTCAACTCAAGACAAAGCAATTAAAATAAGGCATTGCTTTTTGTCCCCTTTAGGAATAAAGATAAGTCTAACCTGAAGAAATATTTCATTTTTAAAAAGCAGAAATAAAACAATCATTAGTTTGTATACTGCTTACTGACCATAATGAAATATACTTTTACACAAATGTATTCTCATTAGGCTGTATAACAGGCTACAAATAGGCAAGTCCTTTAAAAGTTAAATCTCAAGGTCTAACACAAAAGTGAGCTTTCAAAGAGATAATTTTCTGTTTCCAGGTACTGACCATCATAGTGCAGGTTACCGAACAACTCTCCAGACTGGTAAATGCACTTTTTTGTTGGTTAAACCATGTAAGCTCAGTCACACAAAAATGATGTAAGTATTGACACTGTTCATTGTCTGGTTTAATTATAATTAGATTAAGCATTTCTGGAAAATGAAATTAAAAGGTACTATGGACAACTTATTTTTTTTGTTTGCTTATTTTTCTATCCCATGTAATTGAAAAAAATTAATTGAATAATTAAATTAATCAAAATTTAAATAATAAAAATGTCTCCCCCTTAACATATTTCATGAAACACTATTTCATGTTTATTTTCCAAATGTTATTTTCAATAAGTTGGTAAATGAATTCAGTCTGAATATTACAGTCAACTCAAAAAGACTATTTCCTCCATAGAAATGTATCTGTCAATAAGTAGCTCTTTGTCAAACAACCCACAAATTTTGGGCTCGAATTTACTTTTTTTTTTTTAATATGTGAAAATATTTTCTCTAGTTTGAAGGTTTTGTGCCAAAGTATCTAAACATTTCCTCAACAACAAGGGTGGAGGAGGGCAAGAGGGACAACGTCTCACCACTATGGGGTGAGTATTTACACCCATGTAGTACACATACAGTGAGAGCTGATGACATCAAAGCATACACCAGAAAAGCACAGATGATTACCTGATATTCATTGGGCCAAAAGGTGCTCACTGCTAGCTCAGCCCGAAGCCAATCTCTACCCGTGAATCCAGTCACGTTCCAAATTGGATTGGCAAGAGGTCCTTTATTCACCCTAACTAGTATGTTCAAAGTGCCAGGATTCAGCCCTTTCTGGCTATATAATAGGTAACTGAAATCAATGCAGTGAGTGTCATTCTCCTTCATTGTAGGCAGCTGAAGTCTGGCTTTTTCTCCAGGGTCGTGATCTGAAGAGTCCACTATCATATAAGAACCTGAAATGACATTACAAACAATAAAGCTAAATATGTATAAGCAAAAGGGAATGTATAACAATAGAAGACACCAATCCATTCTCAACATTAAATTTAACTCAAAAAGAGTCTGTCTTCTAGAATATAGCCATAGAAAAATACCAATCAAGTAAGGAGATGAATTGAACTAGATAACAGACATTATTCGAAGTACACATGTATTAACCCATTTAGTCTCCACAACAACCTGTTATTATCCATATTTTACAAATTAGCAAATTGAGGCACAATTAGTAACATATTCAAAGTCATATAATAGAGCAGGTAGAGCCAGATCTCACTCTAAAAAATCTCTCATCTTAACTAAACAGAAGTCTTTTAATATAAAACAGAGAAATAAACAAAAACAATACAGTATTGGCCTTGTTTACATAGAAGGTGCACCTTTCTTTCTCCCTATCCAGAATATTATGGCAAGTAGATAGGTTAAGAGTGTAGGCAATGGAATCATTTCCAATAATCCCCAAATCATCACTTATATAAGTTGTATGACCATTTACAATGTACTAATCACTTTGAAACTCAGTTCAAGGAATAGTGATATTTTGTATTACTAGTGTTAGAGTGAGGGCTAAAATTTAAAATTTCTGAGCATAGAATTGTGCACATAGATTTACCCACTTGGAGTCTTACCTACTAAGCTGTCAGCTAATCACCACTTCTACTGGCCAAATTCTGAGGTGGACCCTATGCTCTTCTAGGGCTGCAAGAAATCCAGTCGAAATTGCTCATCTACTCCACTTCCTTTGATTGAATAAATGCTCATTGGTTATCTATTAATGTCATGAAGAGGCACAGGACATAGCACTCGCACACAGACTTGACAGGACAAGCAAAGTTCATGTAGTGACTAAGTACAAAAATGAGACTTGACCACTCAGCTGCTGATATGAACACAAGAACCTCTGCGGTAAAACGACCATTTGTTCTCGTGACACTGTGGATGTTAACAAAAACATATCACAAAAATGTAATATAATTACTTATCGCACTTAAGGCAGAACACAAGTTTTATTGTATCTTTTTTCTAGGATGTAATTTTAACCAAAATATATTAGGCGTAGTGTTGGCAGAGCCCAGTGTTTTCAGGGGTTACACTTACCTTCTCTACCTAACACCATGTAGAATTAATCAATCCTGTGTATTCCCTCCCGAAAATTTGTACCTATGACACGTTAAACACTCAATGACTACTATTCTAACTAGTTCAATTAATCCCCAACAACAGATTCACAGCTTCAACTACTTAAGAAACCAATTTTAAAATCTGACCAATTCCCATTGAATGGCACCCTATGGACGAGAGCTTCTGTGAAGCTTTCATATAACACTTTAGTATTGTCCAAGTATGGAATAAGCATACTCCAGTGACAGTGGCTGATATTATTGTTCACTCCATTTTCCCAGTTCTCATCCTCTTGTAAACTGGAATTATTATTTTATTTTCCTTCCTGATTCTCACAGACAGCACATTAATAGAATAAATTGTGCATATTTTTGGAGAAATTATACCTTTTTTTTAACAGGATATCCTGGATTCCAACCCAATTTATAGAAGCAGGATGTTTCTATTCTTGGTGATACTCACATTCTGAAGTCAATGGCTGATTTAGTAAGATGTCTTTGAGATTCACCACTGCACAGCACACCAATTATTGCTTTTAGCTAGAACCAGCCCTGAGATTTTAGGTAAGGCATTCAATGTTATTGGGCCTCAGCTTCTTCACAAACTTGTAGCCTATTTCTCCACTGCTATAACAGTTTTTTTCCAGTGGCATATTATGATAGTACTACATTTTAATTATTTTTACAAGTCTGCATCAATTACGGCTTATGAATGTCGATTTTAAAGTAGTGATCTAGAAATGATTTACTGACTTTCTAATAGTCATTTTCTTCTACTATTGAATAAACTTGGAGTAAAATATGCTTTGTGTCACATTTTAATTATATAGTATGATATTTACCATTAAGACCATTTAGGGATTTTCAATCAGATGCACTTTTAAGCTATAATAATTTTCTTATTAGAAAAGTAGGATGAACAAACTATATTCATTTGTAGGCATTACCAATTTGATCATTAGAAAGACAAAAGTCACAAAATAAAAGCTTGCCTAAACTATTTTGGCATTTCAAGCAAGTTAAATAATAAAGAAAATTAGTGCTGATAATTAATCTCTAGAGAATGTTTCCACTAAATGGTCTTCTTTCAATGCAGCGTAACATTGCTACATTATCTGAGTGCTTTGGAGTAATAATGCATTTATTGCACAGTCCCAGAAAAAAAATCAAGCACTAACACCAAAAAGCCACCTAAGTCCTTCTGCCTACTGACTTGATATCATGGCAATTTGGCCAGTAGGCACCACAGAGGTAGCTGCCTGTTTGACACAAGATTCCCCTCCGTCATCCCAAACATAGAGAACACTGTGCTATTCTCATCAACTTCTAGAAACTACTTTCTACAGTCTCCCAGAATAACTGGCTCCCAATCCTTCAGTAGGAAAATTTTACAATATGCACTTCCCTCATCCTTTATGTTATAATTTAAGCTTATTTACTATTGTTCTGTTACCAGCTAACTAATCCCTCAGGTTTCTAGTAAAATTTAGCTATCTCAAAGCTTAATAATGAAACATCTGTATTCACACACATACAATGTATTAAATTTTAATTAACATAACTTCTTTAATATGGCCTTACAAATATTCCTTATAGTCTCTTGAGCAATGGAGTTCTCAAATATATCATTCAAGACAGAGGAGAAAAACTTACATGCTTATAATATTCTCATTTGTAAAAAGTGCAACCTTTCTGACAAGCAATTTGGTGATCAGAATAAAAACCTTAAAGAGACATATACTCTCTGATCTGGCAATTTCATGTCTGCAAATGTGTACTAGATAAACAATCATGTATACGTAAGAAGATATACCTAAAAAAGATGTCCATCTCATCATTACACTTTAAAATAGTGAATAGCGAAGTATTTTAAATGTCCGATAATAGGTAATTTGTAAAACTATAGAAAATCAATTTGATGAATAATTATGCAGTCATTAAGAAATATGTTATTTAAAAGTATTTCATGGAAGATATTCACCACATGGTTAGTAAAATATGCAGGTTAAAAAATATTATACCCACTTATGAAAATGTGTATTGATGTTAAATAAATACATCTGTGTAAATATGTGTATATTCACATATGCATACCCATAAATTTGTACACATGACTGGAAAAAACAAAGAATATATAGCAAAATGTAACAGTATATTCTTGAGGGAACTGTAATTATCTCCTGTTTTCTTATTTTTAACATGGACATTTTCCTAATACATGTTCTACAATGAAGAGACATTAGATTTATACTTTTATTTATTAAAAAAGAGACTGTATGAAAACTATCTTACATGAGGAACATCAAATGAATAATGATAAACACTTAGGAAATAAACACAGGTTTGGGGCCTTTCAAAAATAAATCCTCTTTGCATCCTACAGATTAACAGCACCTTGGCATTCAAAAAAAACACAATACAAAAATCAGGTGCTTCTATTTCAATTCATTTAAAAAGAGGGAGAAAGACAAAGAATACTTAGAATAAATGGCAGTTTTTACTAAAAATAATGGCCAAAGAAAACAAGTCCCTTATTCATAAATACTATAGTCTAATATCTAGATGAATAAGCAATGCCCTATGGATTTTATATATTAATGAATTTTTTATCTTTAAATTACACTTCCATGAATAATGTATTAACACAGAAAATAGGATTAATAGCAACAAAAATAACAAGTGATAAATAGGTTTCCATACTTTACTCTAAAACTCCTTTATATGTACGGGTGTGTGTGTGTTGGTACTTTAGTACACTAACATAACATTTTTATTGTCAGGTCTTATTCAAAATCCTATAAACCAAAAGAGAAATTTCAACTTCTCTGCTCGGTATTCACAGCCTTACATGATCTTGCCCCAAAGTACTTTGGTCATTTTACCTGTCGCTTCTCTTCACCAACCACTTTCTCCCTTATTTGTCAAATGCTTCACAACGTTCTCCCACTGCCATGCCAGTGTTCTTTTCCAGAACTGACTCACAGTTTTTGAATTTCTGATTCTGACCCTTAATTATATACTGCTTTTGTATAAATTCTAAATAATTTAAATGGAGATAATATATTTCCCTCAGAAAGGCAATAACGTTCTCTTAGAAAGCACCTGACTTTATCAGTGTCCAATCACAAGTGAGAGGCATGCGGTACATTGAACAGTGAAAGTGTAATATGAAGACTTATTACCTACAAAAGGGTAGAAAGTTTAAAGTTGTAAGGAAAACCCTGAAGAATAGCCAAGTACTCAAGGAAAAAACAAATGTGGAAAGGGGAGGGGTGTTGATAAAAATCAGGTATCTTAAAGAAGGTGTGGTTGTAGTTCACTGGATGATGAAGTTTGCTGGGTCACTGTGGCCAAAGTTGGTCCACAGCGGCTGGAGAAGCAGGAAACACTTCCCATGCAGCAGGTGGCATGAGGCCAGGGTTTCCAGCCTGAAGGTGGACACTAGGCCAGGTTTGGGGCTGCAAGCTCACTGGGGGACTGTGTGGGCTGCATGGAGTTACCACTGTCAACAATGCAGCAGGAGCAAGAACCAAACATAGAAGCACAATGCAACCAGTAAGAGAAGCTGCTTCCTTCTAAAATGTCTCTCCAGTGCCCTCTACTGACAAAGCTTAGCACCGTGCTAGCAGCTGTAAAGAAGAAACACTTAAAAGGGTCAAGCACCACTATTGTAGAGCAGGTAATGAAGGGCAGATGTGGAGCTCTGAGAAAACAAATTCATAACTGGCACACCATCTAACAAGGGCCTTGCATATAGTAGAAGTCCAATAAATACTTGTTAGTTGATGAATTGGATGACTGATTGAATAAGAAACAAAGAGTATGGATTTTAGAAT